CAATATGTATGTGAAATGGGATGAAACAGCAATGTTTTACTATTGAAAATTGAAAGAAAAAAAAAAAGACTTTTTTAAATTTTTTAAATTTCCCGCCGCCGGCGGCGCCCGTACGTCCCGACGTCACGGGGACCGGAACACAGAAGCCGGATGCCGGCATCGGCCGGAGGAGAGAAGGCCCGGGGACGCTGCAGGGGACACATCGCTTTTGGGAACGAAGGACAAGGTAAGTGCTGCAGGGACCCCCAGAGCAGCGCCGCATGGTAAGCCTGAGTGTAGCTCGTGGTATAGAAATTCTACCACAAGCTACACTCGGGAAAAAACCGCCAGGGAGGTTAAAAGAGCCGCGGCTTGCCGACCACTGAGCTACGGCAACCCTATTGCCTGTCACCTGGTGGGCAGTGTGCTCCGGAGCCGCAGCAAAGGTGAAAAAGAGCCGCATGCGGCTCTGGAGCCGCGGGTTGCCGACACCCGCCCTAGCAGTACAGTGTTACCATAGTGGGGGGGGGTGATGAAGATTTGTTTTTTTTTTTGTTTGTTTTTTTACACTGATTGCTTTTGCATCCATAAAGGCTGTATAAAGCAATCATTTCTCCTTCTCTCTGGCTGCATTCTTGCAGCCATTGAGAAAATACTGTGAGAGCTGTGATTGGTCACAGCTTGTCACATGGTACAAGGCTGTTGTGAATAGACTTGTACCATGTGACCTCTGTGATCATTTACAGATTTTTCATACGTAGTAAGCAATGATGTCAGAAGTGACATCTTGCTTACTACTACTCATGTGAGATGACTGATTGGCCAATCAGTGATCACATGATCAGGACCTCACGCAGAGGTCCCGTCCAGCGATCGGTGTTTACGCTGTGTCCGGAAGACACAGTGGGCACCGGATACCGGTGCTGTACGCTCCCAGGGAGCGCGCACAGGCTGTAAATGCCAGCGCCGTTTATAAACGGCAAACCCGCTCCGGCACTGCTCCCGTCCGTCCGTTTATGTACATGGGCCGGATGGGAAGTGGTTAATGTAGAAATACCCCAAGTTTACCGCACCTTTTATTTTATTATTTATTGTATAATATTCCGTTTTTATTTTATTTTTTACATCATATTATTTATATTACCGGTATATTATATTCCTTTTTTTTATTTTGAGAGGCCTCTTTAGGTGAAAGAATGGAAAAAAATCTGACACTTTCCAGAAAAAAACGACCTTTTAGATGACCCATCCTAACATGTAGCAGGCTGAGCACTGGATTTCATCATGTGTATACAATCGATGTTTCCATAGTGGACTGATCAAAACCAGACAGAGTGCGGAAAAAAAATACCTTACAGAGGGAATGATAAATCCTCCGTTACATCCAGATATCCTGGAATTTACTATTTAGATAGTTTTTAAAAGAATGCCATGCTGGAAGAGAGAGAGATATCATTCCCCCGGTACAAATCATTAGTAATACCTCATCTGGAATATTGCAGTTCAGTTTTGGGCACCTATTCACAAAAAGAACATTGGGGAACTGGAGAAAGTACAGAGAAGGGCACCAAACTGATAAGAGGCATGGAGGAGATCAGCTATGAGGAAAGATTAGAGGAAACTGAATTTATTCTCTCTTGAGAAGAGGAGATTAAGGGGGGATATGATCACCATGTATAATACATAAGGGGGATATGATCACCATGTATAATACATAAGGGGGATATGATCTCCATGTATAATAAATAAGGGGGGATATGATCTCCATGTATAATACATAAGGGGGATATGATCTCCATGTATAATACATAAGGGGGGATATGATCTCCATGTATAATACATAAGGGGGGATATGATCTCCATGTATAATACATAAAGGAGGGGATATGATCTCCATGTATAATACATAAGGGGGGATATGATCTCCATGTATAATACATAAGGGGGGATATGATCTCCATGTATAATACATAAGGGGGGATATGATCTCCATGTATAATACATAAGGGGGGATATGATCTCCATGTATAATACATAAGGAGGGGATATGATCTCCATGTATAATACATAAGGGGGGATATGATCTCCATGTATAATACATAAGGGGGATATGATCTCCATGTATAATACATAAGGAGGGATATGGTCTCCATGTATAATACATAAGGGGGGGATATGATCTCCATGTATAATACATAAGGGGGGATATGATCACCATGTATAATACATAAGGGGGATATGATCTCCATGTATAATACATAAGGGGGGATATGATCTCCATGTATAATACATAAGGGGGATATGATCTCCATGTATAATACATAAGGGGGGATATGATCACCATGTATAATACATAAGGGGGATATGATCTCCATGTATAATACATAAGGGGGGATATGATCTCCATGTATAATTACATAAGGGGGGGATATGATCTCCATGTATAATACATAAGGAGGGATATGGGCTCCATGTATAATACATAAGGGGGGATATGATCTCCATGTATAATACATAAGGGGGGATATGATCTCCATGTATAATACATAAGGGGGGATATGATCACCATGTATAATACATAAGGGGGATATGATCTCCATGTATAATACATAAGGGGGGATATGATCTCCATGTATTATAATACATAAGGGGGGGTATGATCTCATGTATAATACATAAGGGGGGGATATGATCTCCATGTATAATACATAAGGGGAGATATGATCTCCATGTATAATACATAAGGGGGGATATGATCTCATGTATAATACATAAGGGGGGATATGATCTCCATGTATAATACATAAGGGGGGGATATGATCATCACCATGTATAATACATAAGGGGGATATGATCTCCATGTATAATACATAAGGGGGGATATGATCTCCGTGTATAATACATAAGGGGGGGGGGATATGATCTCCATGTATAATACATAAGGGGGATATGATCTCCATGTATAATACATAAGGGGGGATATGATCACCATGTATAATACATAAGGGGGGATATGATCTCCATGTATAATACATAAGGGGGGGATATGATCTCCATGTATAATACATAAGGGGGGATATGATATCCATGTATAATACATAAGGGGGATATGATCTCCATGTATAATACATAAGGGGGATATGATCACCATGTATAATACATAAGGGGGGGATATGATCTCCATGTAGAATACATAAGGGGGGATTTGATCTCCATGTATAATACATAAGGGGGGATTTGATCTCCATGTATAATACATAAGGGGGGATATGATCTCCATGTATAATACATAAGGGGGGGATATGATCTCCATGTAGAATACATAAGGGGGGATTTGATCTCCATGTATAATACATAAGGGGGGATTTGATCTCCATGTATAATACATAAGGAGGGATATGATCTCCATGTATAATACATAAGGGGGGATATGATCTCCATGTATAATACATAAGGGGGATATGATCTCCATGTATAATACATAAGGTGGGATATGATCTCCATGTATAATACATAAGGGGGATATGATCTCCATGTATAATACATAAGGGGGATATGATCTCCATGTATAAATACATCAGGGGGGATATGATCTCCATGTATAAATACATCAGTGGTTCATATAGTGAACTCAGTGTAGAGTTATTCCCCCTGAGGTCATCACAGAGGACAAGGGGGCGCTCTTTATATTTGGAGGAAAAGAAATGTAATCTCCAAACACGGAAAGGTTTTTCACAGTGAGAGCTGTGAAAATGTGGAATAGACTCCCTCAAGAGTTGGTTCTGGCCAGCTCAGTGGATTGCTTTAAAAAGTCCTGGATTCTTTCTTAGATACACAGAATATAACTGGATATAACATTTATAGGTAAAGTTGATCCAGGGAATATCCGATGGCCTCTCGGGGGATCAGGAAGGAATTTTTTTTCCCTGCAGGAGCAAATTGGATCATGCTTTTCTGGGGGTTTTTTTTGCCTTCTTCTGAATCAACTGTCAACTGTGGGTATAGGACTATAACTTTTTTTTAAATTATTTTAATGGTTGAACTGGATGGACTTTTGTCTTTTTTCAGCCAGACTAAACTATGTAACTATGTAACTATGAAAGAATTACTTTAACCCTTTCCATACTACTGGGACAAAAAAAAAGTATGCAGATTAGGAGTTCTGAATGTATCTTTATGCATACGTGCAGTGCCAGGACAAGACCATCCAGCACCCAGGGCAAAAATGCCAAGCTGCGCTCCCCCCACTCATTCATCATGTGCAAGCCTTTCGTTTGTCAAGCAGTGCCCCATTCATTGCAAAAAGCAGTTGTGCCCAGGGCAGCCGCCCCTTCTGCCGACCCTAGTCCCATCCCCGTGTACGTGTTTTGGGAAATTTGATGGCAGGGGAGCAATGATGGTAAGAGTAGGCACCTTATTAATACTTGTGTTTGTGCTCCTAGTGGCAAACAGTTGGATTCTAATAGTCTTGTTCCCAGTGGTCTCCAAACTGTGGCCCTTTGCTTGCCCTTATCAGGCCCTTCATGGGGGACACCAATGATGGGGTACTATTCCTCCCCTGACACCAATGATGGGGCACTATTCATCTCACTGACACCAATGATGGGGCACTATTCCTCTTACTGACACAAATGATGGGACACTATTCCTCCCACTGACACCAATGATGGGGCACTATTCCTCCCACTGACACCAATGATGGGGCACTATTCCTCCCACTGATACCAATGATGGGGCACTATTCCTCCCACTGACACCAATGATGGGGGGCACTATTCCTCCCACTGACACCAATGATGGGGCACTATTCCTCCCAATGACACCAATGATGGAGTGCTATTCCTCCCACTGATACAAATGATGGGGCGCTATTCCTCCCACTGACACCAATGATGGGGCACTATTCCTCCCATCTGACACCAATGATGGGGCAACTATTCCTCCCAATGACACCAATGATGAGGCACTATTCCTCCCACTGATACCAATGATGGGGGCACTATTCCTCCCACTGACACCAATGATGGGGCACTATTCTCCCAATGACACCAATGATGAGGCACTATTCCTCCCACTGACACAATGATGGGGCACTATTCCTCCCACTGACACCAATGATGGGGCACTATTCCTCCCACTGACACCAATGATGGGGCACTATCCTCCCACTGACACCAATGATGGGGCACTATTCCTCCCACTGGACACCAATGATGGGGCACTATTTCCTCCCAATGACACCAATGATGGAGCACTATTCCTCCACTGATACCAATGATGGGGCACTATTCCTCCCACTGACACCAATGATGGGGCACTATTCCTCCCACTGACACCAATGATGGGGCACTATTCCTCCCAATGACACCAATGATGAGGCACTATTCCTCCCACTGATACCAATGATGGGGCACTATTCCTCCCACTGACACCAATGTTATTGAACTATTCCTCTCGATCACACCAATAGTATGGAACTATTCTTCCCACTGACACTAATAATGGGGGACTATTCCTCCCACTAATCACAATGATGAGGCGTTGTTTATTCCCATTGACGCCAGGACATTTTATACTTACACTGGCCCCTCAAAGTTTGAAGGACAGTAAACTGGCCCTTTGTTCAGAAAGTTTGGAGTCCCCTGTCCTAGAGTATGTGAGAGAAGGGACATGGCATCAATGCCTGGTGAGGTACTTAGAAGAGCACGGAGTTGTGATATTGAATGCCACAGGAGGGTTATGTGAGAGTATAGAATTTCTCTCCTTTTTATGTTTTTGATTTGAAAATGTAACCTGAGATCATTCTTAAAACTCTTGGACTAAAACCAACTTGTACTTAAAGCAGAACTAAACTACATCTGTGCACCATAAACCAACAACGGCATTTAATTTATTTTTAATGTTCAAAACAAAAAACTCACCCATCCATCGCCATACTTTATTTTGTTGAGAAATCATTAAAGAAAAAAAAACACTCCTAGCATTTCTAGTAGGGTTGGGCTTGATGTTCAACTCAGACATCGGCTGTTTGTGTGTTCAGCAAACACACAAACGGTTAGGGCATTAGGGCATTATTGTGATTGGCCAAAGCAATGCACCTGACCACAGGTCAAGTGCAATGCTTTGGCCAATCACAGTGCATGATGATGTCACAAGAAGGTGGGGTGAACCCACCCCCTTGTGACATCATCACAGTATTTAAGAACTGTCAGGCTGGCGCAGTGGTCAGACAGCGGGAGCCAGCATCAAGAGCAGAGCGTTTCTTTTTTCGGGTCGGCGGGTGGGTGGCATCGTGATTGACGGTGGATCTACTTCGAGGGGCTTTTTTTCATTTTTGTTTTTAATAAAGTACTTGCCAAAGACTGTCTCCTGTCATTTTTTACACTACACTTTTTGTGAGTGAATGAGCAGCGGGTACCATGTTCCCCATACTCATTCACATAGGGGGGGGCCATGATCTTGTTAAAGGGGTTTCCAGATTCCAATAAGCCCCCCCGCCAACAGACCCCCGCGACCACCGGCCACGGTTTGCGGGGAAGAGGTCCTTGTCCCCATCAACATGGGAAACAAGGTGCTTTGGGGGCAGCCCCACTCTGCAACCCTCATATTGAGGGCATGTGGCCTGGTATGGTTCATGAGGGGGGTGCTTGCTCATCTTCCCCCTTTACTGACCTGCAAGGCTGAATGCTCAGATAGGGGTATGGTATGGATTTTGGGGAGGGACCCCCCCCACGCCGCCCCGCCCCCCCCCCCCCACGCCGTTTTTTTCCCCCCCCCACGCCGTTTTCCCCCCCACACCGTTTTTTTTTTTTAAATTTGAATTGCCGGGCAATGCTGGCAATTTTTTTTTTTACATTCAGCTGTCTGCGGGGAACCCCACTGACAGCTGAAACAGTAAAGAATGTTTCACTACTAAAATACCGCATGACTTAAAAATATATAATTAATGTGGTATGTTAGTAGCTGTGCAGTATCTTACCGCATACCCAGAGTGAATTGTCCCTGTTTGAAGTTCACAGCCGAACTTACATTAAGTTTGAATGTTTGACTGCAAACCGCACAGGGGGGTGTTTGGACCATCACTAATTTCTAGCTGTAGCCGTCTCGAATAAGGGCAGATGATTCAAGTAGCATTTACTTCCTGGAATCCCTTTGCCCTTAACTCAGGCAGGCAAGCAGGAGGGTGTGCTTAGCTGAGAAAGCCCCTCCTTCGGATGAAAGAAAAAAATGCCCAAGAAGACTCCTGGGATGTTTGACATCATTATGGCCTAAGCCAGAAACCAGGAAGCAACTAAAGAAATGTAAAAAAAAAAAAAAAGAAAGTTTAACATATGTAAATATAATACACTTTCCTATCTAGTTTAGTTCCATTTAAAGCTGAATTCCAGGAAACAACATCTTTGAAAAAGTGAAGGCATTCTACGAGTTAAGTCCAATGAGATGCCTGCTACTTCCTCGGTTCATCTCTATTATTTAGATCGGACGGGTTTATTGTACTCCAACAGCAGAGCTCCGTCGCTGGACTCAGCTGGTCTCTCGCACCCCAAGTTTAGTTGGTGCAGCTCAATTGGCAATCCATGTGCATTCAAAAAGTGCTCCCAAGAAAGACCCAAAGAAAAAAGAAACTCTACATGTTTTGCTCCAAAAAACAGAGCTTTGTCAGAAGTATAAAGAATTAAAATACCGTATTTTTCGCTCCATAAGACACACTTTTTTCCCCCCAAAAAAGGGGGTTAAATGTCAGTGCATCTTATGGTGCGAATATGGAGCGGCCGGTCCGGTATTTCCACCACCGCCGTATCAGAATACCGGGCCGGCCCGCCCACCGCTCAGCTCTGCAGTGGGACCTTACCTGTTCCTCTATCCAGTGGTGCGCTGTCTTCCCGGCTTCTGTAGTGTGCGTGACAGCCGGGGTCCCAAGTGCGCATGCGCAAGAAGCGGTGCTTTTTGTGAATGGTAAGGCGGTACCTGGGACACATGACAGATCCCAGAAGCCGCCGGACCAATCACAAAGCGCAGCGCTTCTCGCTTATGCGCACTGGGCATCTGGCTGTCCGCCGAGCGCCCACACTACAGAAGCCGGGAAGACAGCGCGCGGCTGGATAAAGGAACAGGTAAGATCAAAGAAAAATTCAAATTCAGGTACCTGCTCCCCCTCCCTCCCCAAAGGTCAGCAGTCATGTCCTGTACTGTCCGCAGTCTCTGGTCATCTCCTGTACCGTGCCCGCAGTCTCTGGTCATCTCCTGTACCGTGTCCGCAGTCTCTGGTCATCTCCTGTACCGTGTCCGCAGTCTCTGGTCATCTCCTGTACCGTGTCCGCAGTCTCTGGTCATCTCCTGTACCGTGTCCGCAGTCTCTGGTCATCCCTGTACCGTGTCCGCAGTCTCTGGTCATCTCCTGTACCATGTCCGCAGTCTCTGGTCATCTCCTCTACCATGTCCGCAGTCTCTGGTCATCTCCTGTACTATGTCCGCAGTCTCTGGTCATCCCTTTACTGTCCGCAGTCTCTGGTCATCTCCTGTACTGTGTCCGCAGTCTCTGGTCATCTCCTGTACTATGTCCGCAGTCTCTGGTCATCTCCTGTACTGTGTCCGCAGTCTCTGGTCATCTCCTGTACTGTGTCCGCAGTCTCTGGTCATCTCCTGTACTGTGTCCGCAGTCTCTGGTCATCTCCTGTACTGTGTCCGCAGTCTCTGGTCATCTCCTGTACTGTGTCCGCAGTCTCTGGTCATCTCCTGTACTGTGTCCGCAGTCTCTGGTCATCTCCTGTACTGTGTCCGCAGTCTCTGGTCATCTCCTGTACTATGTCCGCAGTCTCTGGTCATCTCCTGTACTATGTCCGCAGTCTCTGGTCATCTCCTGTACCGTGTCCGCAGTCTCTGGTCATCCCCTGTACCGTGTCCGCAGTCTCTGGTCATCTCCTGTACCATGTCCGCAGTCTCTGGTCATCTCCTCTACCATGTCCGCAGTCTCTGGTCATCTCCTGTACTATGTCCGCAGTCTCTGGTCATCCCTGTACTGTCCGCAGTCTCTGGTCATCTCCTGTACTGTGTCCGCAGTCTCTGGTCATCTCCTGTACTGTGTCCGCAGTCTCTGGTCATCTCCTGTACTATGTCCGCAGTCTCTGGTCATCTCCTGTACTGTGTCCGCAGTCTCTGGTCATCTCCTGTACTGTGTCCGCAGTCTCTGGTCATCTCCTGTACTGTCCGCAGTCTCTGGTCATCTCCTGTACTATGTCCGCAGTCTCTGGTCATCTCCTGTACTATGTCCGCAGTCTCTGGTCATCTCCTGTACTGTCCGCAGTCTCTGGTCATCTCCTGTACTATGTCTGCAGTCCATTAGTTCAGAATTTTTTTCCTGTTTTCTGCCTCTAAAACCTAGGTGTGTCTTATGGTCAGGTGCGTCTTATGGAGCAAAAAAATACGGTAGGTCACATAGTGGCTGGAAGTGGTGCTCAGCTGCACATGGTGGCAAAATGGCACCTATCATTCGTTTCACCTCTATATATAGAGATGGCCATTAAAATGGGCCCCCGCATATGCTCAGTTCCTCAACAGACACCATCTTGTGGACAAAAAAAGCTGATAGGTTTATGATCAAACTACAGTGCCTCTTTGTATGGCGTCACTTCATCTAAAACGGCACGGGTATTTGATTTGGTCTGGTGTTATTAACCATTTGGATGTAAGGTTAATGATTGCAATGGTATCCAGTCATACTGTTGTGCGCAGTACATTCCACTCCAATAGGCATTCATTACAGCTGAGTCATACATTTTTTATATATTTGAATAAAGGTTATATATTTTAGATTCATCAATTGGCCAGATGGTGGGTAGGGAAACGCACCCTCGTCCAGTATAGATTTGTTATTTGCCAAAGATGATGATTTACAATTAGGGCTTAGTGCAATAGTTATTCTGGAGTTCAGCTTTAAGACATGGGCCACTGGAAGTGCATGTTTATAGCATCTGCTTCTTTCTTTAGTTTTGGACCTCACAATATGCAGATTGGGAGTATGATCGTTCCTACTCAGTGACTCAGAATGTGCTGAAGTCAGAAACAGCCTGGAAACTGGCTGCATCAGCAATGGCAAAATCGGTATTTCCAATTTCTGTATTATGGGTTCCCCTTAAAGTTGACCTAGCAGGAACAGATCTATTTTTTTCATGTGAAATTCATGGATGCTAAGTAATGTGTCAATGTGCTACTTCGAGGTGTTTGCTGCTCACGAAAATATCACAGTACTCCCCCTTACAATGCCTTCACCAGCTTTACTTTCTAGAAGGGCCACCCCATCTTTGTTCAGGCATCATCCAATTATTACCATCTACTTCCTAGACCAGGGGTGGGGCAAACTTTTTGACTCGAGGGCCGCAATGGGTTCATATATTGGACCCGGGGGCCGGACCAAACAGTAGATGAATTATGTGTATGTGTCATCCATAGTAGAGTATAGTAATATTCCCCCATAGTAAGCATAGTAATTAATCCCCCATATAGTAATTCATCCCCCATATAGTAATTCATCCCCCATATAGTAATTCATCCCCCATAGTAATTCACCCCCCCATATAGTAATTCATCCCCCCATATAGTAATTAATCCCCCTTATAGTAATTCATCCCCCATAGTAATTCATCCCCCATATAGTAGTAATTCATCCCCCCATATAGTAATTCATCCCCATAGTAATTCATCCCCCCAATAGTAATTCATCCCCCCTATAGTAATTCATCCCCCATAGTAATTCATCCCCCATATAGTAATTCATCCCCCATATAGAAATTCATCCCCCATATAGTAATTCATCCCCCATAGTAATTCATCCCCCATATAGTAATTCATCCCCCCTATAGTAATTCATCCCCCCTATAGTAATTCATCCCCCATAGTAATTCATCCCCCATATAGTAATTCATCCCCCATATAGTAATTCATCCCCCATAGTAATTCAGCCCCCATATAGTAATTCATCCCCCATATAGTAATTCATCCCCCATAGTAATTCATCCCCCATATAGTAATTCATCCCCCATATAGTAATTCATCCCCCATATAGTAATTCATCCCCCATAGTAATTCATCCCCCATATAGTAATTCATCCCCCATAGTAATTCATCCCCCATATAGTAATTCATCCCCCATAGTAATTCATCCCCCATATAGTAATACATCCCCCATAGTAATTCATCCCCATAGTAATTCATCCCCCATAGTAATTCATCCCCATATAGTAATTCACCCCCCATAGTAATTCATCCCCCATATTAATTTCATCCCCATAGTAATTCATCCCCCATATAGTAATACATCCCCCATAGTAATTCATCCCCCCCATATAGTAATTCATCCCCCATAGTAATTCATCCCCCATATAGTAATTCATCCCCCATAGTAATTCATCCCCCATATAGTAATACATCCCCCATAGTAATCATCCCCCCATAGTAATTCATCCCCCATAGTAATTCATCCCCATATAGTAATTCACCCCCCATAGTAATTAATCCCCCATATTAATTCATCCCCCATAGTAATTCATCCCCCATATAGTAATTCATCCCCCATAGTAATTCATCCCCATATAGTAATTCATCCCCCATAGTAATTCATCCCCCCATATAGTAATTCATCCCCCATATAGTAATTCATTCCCCATATTAAGTCCCCAAGTCCCCCCCCTGTGTCAATTCACTTACCTTTGCTCCGCGCGTTCCTCTCGCCGTGTCCCGCGCCGTTGCGGTGCAGCATGAAAATCTGTCTCCTATGAGGATCTGTCCCCCTCGACGTATCTGCGCATGTGCCAGTTTCAGGCATTAGCAGCCAATCGGCGATCTCCGGCACATGCGCAGATACGTCGAGGGGGACAGATCCTCATAGGAGACGGCGCGGGACACGGCGAGAGGAACGCGCGGAGCAAAGGTAAGTGAATTGACACAGGGGGGACTTGGGGACTTCAGGGCGGACTGTGAGAGGAGCCTAGCTCCGCGGGCCGGATTAAAAGGTCCGCCGGGCCGTAGTTTGCCTATTGCTGTCCTAGACTGACTTGCCGGGCTCAGCGATGACATAAACATGTAATTCTGGCAGCCTCTCACCTTTGTGAATTGCAGCAAAGTTATAATGTGACAATGTGATCACTTGGGAAGGGGAGACAGAGGTAATGCGTCCTCCTGACTTCAGCAGGACTAATGACATTATCTCAGCCTAGAGAAAGTCACTGGACTGGAGCTCAAGGATGGGTTTTTAGAGTTAAGAAGTAGGGTTTTAAAAAACAAAAACAAAATCTATACAATGTTTGTGACAAGTCGGGAATTTATTCATTCAGAGGTTACTGAATGGTTCACTTTAGGTGTGAGCCAGCTTGCTATGCTCCAGCTATATGCATTCAGATGTTAAAGATCTGCTGTACTGGAGCAAGGAGCTACAAAAGCTTAGTCCAGCCATTCTCAACCAGAGTTCCTCCAGAGGTTGCTAGGGATACCTTAAGGTGCAGCTGATTGACCTTTTATTCAAGATGCCTGCATAGTTCCGTGTCCACTACCACTTGCTAGTGCCAACGCTATGGCATTCTTCCAACTAACCATCAATGTAAGGGACATTCTTCCCACTAACCATCAACGTAAGGGACATTCTTCCCACTAAACCATCAACGTAAGGGACATTCTTCTCACTGACCATCAATGTAAGGGACATTCTTTCCAGTGACCATCAATAAAAAGGGACACTCTTCACAGTGATTATCAATCTAAGGGACATTCTTCTCACTGACCATCAATGTAAGGGACATTCTTCCCAGTGACCATCAATAAAAGGGACACTCTTCACAGGGATTATCAATCTAAGGGACTTTCTTCTCACTGACCATCTATGTAAGGAACATTCTTCCCACTGACCACCAATGTAAGGAACCTTCTCACCACTGATCATCAATGTAAGGAACATTCTTCCACCGACCATCAATATATGGGACATTCTTCCATCGACCATCAATATAAGGGACATTCTTCCCACCGACCATCTATATAAGGGACATTTTTTCCCACCGATCATCAATATAAAGGGACTGTCTTCCCACTGACCATCAATAATAATGGGACTGTCTTCCCACCGACCATCAATATAAGGGACTGTCTTCCCACCGACCATCAATATAAGGGACTGTCTTCCCACCGACCATCAATATAAGGGACTGTCTTTCCACCGACCATCAATATAAGGGACTGTCTCCCCATGGATTATCAATATAAGGAACTTTCTTCCAGTAAAAATAAATATAAGGAACATTCTTCCCAGTGACCACCAATGTAAGGGACATTCTTCCCACTGACCACCAATGTAAGGGACATTCTTCCCACTGACCACCATGTAAGGGACATTCTTCCCACTGACCACCAATGTAAGGAACATTCTTCCCACTGACCACCAATGTAAGGAACATTCTTCCCACTGACCTCCAATTTAAGGGACATTCTTCCCACTGACCACCAATGTAAGGGACATTCTTCCCACTGACCTCCAATGTAAGGGACATTCTTCCCACTGACCACCAATGTAAGGGACATTCTTCCCACTGACCTCCAATGTAAGGGACATTCTTCCCACTGACCTCCAATGTAAGGGGCAGTTCATTCTTCCCACTGACCTCCAATGTAAGAGGGGCATTCTTCCCACTGACCCGTCCAATGTAAGGGACATTCTTCCCACTGATCTCCAATGTAAGGGGCATTCTTCCCACTGACCACCAATGTAAGGGACATTCTTCCTACTGACCTCCAATGTAAGGGACATTCTTCCCCACTGATCACCAATGTAAGGAACATTCTTCCCACTGATCACCAATGTAAGGAGCATTCTTCCCACTGACCTCCAATGTAAGGGGCATTCTTTTCTTCCCACTGACCTCCAATGTTAAGGGCATTCTTCCCACTGATCACCAATGTAAGGAGCTTTCTTCCCACTGACCACCAGTAAATTGGTTTAACAGCTCTACCCTGAGACCTGAAAATCATTTCAGAGGTTCCTCTAGGTAGAAAGTCCGTCATCTTTGTGTGAACAAATATTGTTTTTTTAACAAACTGTATTCCTGCTGTCCATCTGTGGCAATGCACAGAACATTATTGCTGCACTAAACATCTACATTGCAAAATCTGGTGTTTGTTAATCATCTCTGTAAAGATTCCAAGAGTTCCAAGTGCATAGCAGGTGTATCGTATCTGCTGATGGGGGGGCGTACGTAGACTTATTGGTAAACTATACCCATAGAAAACTATGAAACACTCATGGAATAATTTCACAGTCCATGTTCTTCTAGGCTTCCAGAGGAACGATGACATTATCTAAATCCCTACTGGATTGCCAATTGAGCTACACCAGATGAAATCCATTGGAATCATTCAGTGGCGTGACTGAAGTCTGCAAGTCAGGTGAAATGCATAATTTTTAAGATTTTATGGGAGTAATACCTTTAAAGGGAATGTGTTATGTGTTATGCACACACTTTATTAGGTCCACCTGTTCAATTGCTTGGTAACACAAATTGCTAATCAGTCAATCACATGGCAGCAACTCAATTGCATTTAGGCATCTAGATGTATGAAATCGACTTGCTGAAGTTCAAACTGAGCATCAGTATTATTATTACATTACATTACATTGAGTTTATATAGCGCCAAAGGGTTTGCTCAGCGCTGTAACAATAGAGGGGGGGGACAATACATGAAACATTACAGCAGCTACGAACAGCACACGAGGGGTAAGAGGGCCCTACTCTTTCGAGCTTACAATCTGGGAGGGAGGGGGTAGTGGTACAGGAGGAAGTGGCTGTGGGGGATGGAGGGTAGGAGGAATGAAGGAGAGCAGCACAGTTAGGTGAGGTGGGGTAGGCTTCCCTGAAGAGGTGGGTTTTCAGGGAGCGCCTGAAGGTGAGGAAGGGAAGGTGACAGTCTGATGGATTGGGGTAGTGAGTTCCAGAGGATGGGGGAGGACCTGGAGAAGTCTTGCAGACGTGCGTGTGAGGAGGAGGGGGTAGGGGGGTACGGGGGAAATCAGGTGGGGTTGGGGTTTGTTAGGGGCAGTTTGTAAATGGCTTTTAGGCAAGGGGGTTTTATTTTGGAATTTTTAAATGCTTGGGGCGATGGGGGGAACCAGGGGAAGGGGACAGGGGGGGTGGCAGGGGGGGAAAGGGGCGGGTGAGGGGGAGAGTGGCAGCGAGTTCGGGAATGGTCTAAGCGGGGAAAGTTTGCACTGGGGTACCCCGGGGGGGGGATTGCAATAAAACGGAGAAAATTCAGGGATTTGCAAAAGTTTTTAGGGGTTTTCGGGGGAAGGGAAGGTCGTTTTTTTGGCGTTATTCAGGGGGAGCCTGCATGTGTTTGTCGTTTTTTGACTTGGGGTTGGAAGGAGGGGTTAGAGTCCAAATGCCCCAAAGGACTTTGGCTTGCGGGGGGGATTGAGGGTGGTGATTTTTAGTATGAGGGTTAGGGGGGGGGGGGGGGCCCGGGGGCCAGGGGGGGGAAGCCCGAGAACTCTTTTTGGAAAGAGGTTAAAATTTTGGGGAAAATTGGGCGACACCCCGTCAAGAGGGCGCTTAGGGGGTGGTGATGGGGGCGGGGGAAAGTGGAGGTAGGTGAGGGGGGAAGGAAAATTTGAGGGCTTCGCATAAGAGGAATTTTAAAAACGTGGGGGGAAGGTTTTGCCTGGGGGGGAGGGTGATGGAGAAAGGGGGGCCCAAAGGGGCAGAGCCCTGGGGGCCCCCAAAACAAGGGGGGAGGGGGGGAAGGGGGCACCTTTGGGAGGAAACGCTGAAGGGGGGGTGGGTTTGGTAAAGGAAAACCCCAGGGGGGAGAGGGGTTGGTTCTCGAAAAAAAAGGGGAAAATTTATTTTAAAAAAAGGGAGGGGGGGGTTTCAACTGTGTCAAAGGGCCCAAAAGGGGTTTCCAGGGGAGGGGGAAACAGAGTGGGTTTCGCCTTTGGCTTTGGGGTAAGTAGGTCTTTTGGTGATTTTTAGGGGGGTTTTTTTCGGGGGGTTGTGGGGGAGGGAAAAGCCGGGCCTGTAGGGGATCAAGGGGGTTTGTTGTCGTTAGGGGGGCGTTTTAGGGGGGGTTGGGAAATAAGCGCTCCGGATTTTGGGAAAGGGGGGTTGGCAGCAGGGAGAGGGGTCTGATTTTTTTGGGTCAGGGGGGGTCCGGGGAAAGGGGCTTTTTGAGTAGGGGGGTGATGTGCGCTTTGTTTTTAGGGGGGGGGGGAACCGCCGGGTAAAGAGGGAGGATTAAAAGTTTGGGTGGGGACAAGGGGAAGAGGGGGGGGGACGGAGGAGTCGAGGGGGGAAATAGGGTTGGGGGGCAGGTATTTGTGGGGGGGCTTCGGGGAAACCCCTGGTACTTCCTCGGGGGTAGGGGGTCCCTAAAGGGGATTGCGAGCTGGGGGTTTTAGGGAAAGGGGGGGTTTTGGGGTGGGGGGGGGCATTTGGGGGTTGCGGGTCAAAGGGAAGAGTTGAGGGGGAGATAGGGGGGGGGCCCCCTAGGTGGGGGGGTGGATTGCATTTTGACAATGCCCTAAAGGAATAGCATAAATTTTTTATTGTGGAAATGAGTGGCAATCCGGGGGGCGGTGATGAGGTACTGAGTGGAGGGGGAGGGGGGGGACAGGGGTTGAAGGTGGAAAAGGGAGTGGGCGGGGGGCAGGAGGAGAGGGTGTTAATCGGTTTACGAATAAGCCTCCCTTGGGGGGCGGGGGGGAGGGGGTTGTAAGTGATAAGGGGCAGATTTGGGGGAAATTGAAGGGGGGGCCCGGGTTTTGCCCCATATCCTCCAGCGCACGACGCACTTTTTTGGGGCATTTATGTTCGTTCTGCCAGGGTTTTGGAGGGGTTTTGGGTTTGATGTACGTGGGGGTTGGGGTCCCAAGATCTAGGGTAGTTTGATAGTGAGCCCGTTGTACGTTTATGGCTGGTCAGGACAAAAGAAAAAAAAGGGGAAAAGGTTTCCTGTCTTTTGTAGGCGGTGGGCAGCTGAGTGGGGGGGGACCGGGGTTTCAGGTTGCAAGGGGTTGGGGGCTGGTGTTTTTTTTTGGCCCCCTGGGGGGGGGGAAGTTGGGGGAAAGGGGGGAGATGGAAAAATGGGGAGGAGGTGGTGGTCGGAGAGAGGGAAGGGGGGGTTAGAGAAAATGGTGAGGGTAAAGATTTGGGGGAAGACGGGTCCCAGGGGGTTCCCCCAAAGATGGGGGGTGGGGGATTGAGTTGCTGTGTGAGCGGGGAAGGAGGGGGTTAAAGGGGGAATTGGGAAGTAGCCCGGGGTGTTGTCATTGATGGGGGGTTTAAGTCCCCGGGGGATGATGGTTGGACTCAGAGGAGAGGGAAAAAAGGGGGAAACCCGGGAGCGAAATCACCAAAGCGGAGGGGACCGGGGGCCCTTTTAAAATCACTCGATTTAGGGGGGGGGGGTGAGAAGAGCCATGCCCGTGGGGCCCGAAGGGGAGGGAAAAATTTTGGGAGGGAGGGGTTTTTGGAGGGGCCCGGAAAAGGTGCTCAGACCGTGATACAGAGCAGGCCGACCCACCACCTTTTACCGCTCAGTCGTGTGATGGGACCAGACAACCGCCACAGAGAGTGGCGCAGGGAGTGGAGTCAGTGGGCCAGTAACCCACGGTTTTTCGGTGATGGCTAGGAGGTTAAGAGGAGCAGATAAAGAGGTCAGGATGCAGAAGTTTGTTGCGACCGAGCGGAACGACGTTCAGAGTGCAACCGCGAAGGGGGATGAATGCGGGGAGAAGGGGGCAACAGACATAGTTAGGGGGTTACGCAGCTGGCGGGAGGGGGAGTAAATAAGGGGGAAAGTAAGCGGGTTTTGGGGGGGGGCGGGTAGAGGGGGGCGATTTTTGGGATGGGGAAGGAAAAAGAGGAGGGGGAGTCAGGGGGCATGTTGGGGGGGGGGGGGTGACAGTTGGGTAAGGGGGGGGAAGGGGTACAGGTCAGGGCAAGGGTTGGGGGAAACTTCTTTACCCTGGGGGAATCTTGGTCCCCTTTTTAAGGGGTTTGAGTAGGGTGGAGGGGGGCCAAGGGGGTTGGGGAAGCTTTGGGTGCAGTAAAACTGGGGACCCCTGGGGGCTGTCAAAGTCTTCAGTGGGTTTGGGGGTTTGGCTATGGAGGGGGGGGCCCAGGGTTCTGGCCCGGGGGGGATGGTAGGGCCAAAGGCGACTGGGGAAAGTGGCCTCGGGGGACGGGGTTTTTGAGGCCAGGCCCCCTGAATGGGGGAAAAAAAAAGGGATTTAATACTTTGAATGTGGTTTTTGGTTTTGGGGGTCAAACACCGTTTTTTTTTAAAAACTCAGAAAACCCCCCATTTACTGGTTTTCACATAAACCATCCCCTAGGGTTTACAGAGAATGGTCCCAAAAAAAAGAAAATATCCAGTACTCAGTTATGTGGATGAAAATTTTCTTTTTGAAAGTCAGAGGAAAGAGCCGACTTGGGGGCCGGACATTCAAATGGTAGGGTCAAATTTTCCAAAAAAAAACATGAAAACATGGGTCCCTCCTGCCTTTTATCAAAGGTTCAGGGTATGGGGTAATGGTGGGGGGGTATTTTCTTGGCAATTTGCAAGGTGTAATAATTTTAAATGGCTGGGGAGAGGTAATTTTTATATCTTGGGGAAGGGGTTCAAGAAAAAAGTTTAAATGTATATTTTTTAAAAACCTGGCCCAACAAATTTAAATCCCCGCAGGACTCTAGACTTCTCTAGAAATTCCCGAAAGTGGAGCT